CCCTCGCGGTGCATTGCCTGACGCGGCTCCCTCCTCAACCCTCGACGTGGCACAGCAGCGCCGACATCTCGCCGACACAGGCGAGGTGGGCCCACTATGGTTGTTGGAGGAGAGGAGAGGAGGAGGAGGAGGAGGAGGAAGTAAGGAGGAGGAGGAGAGGAGGGGAGGAGGAGGGGGAGGGGAGGATAGGAGGCGTGGAGTAGGAGGAGGAGGAGGAGGAGGAGGAGGGGAGGAGGAGGAGGAGGAGGAGGAGGGGGAGAAGGAGAAGGAGGAGGATGAGGAGGAGGAGGAGGAAGAGGAGGAGGAGGAGGAGGAGGATGAGGAGGAGGAGGAGGAGCTGGAGGAGGCGGATTGGCCTGTTTTTGGCGTGGCTCGCCCGACCGCATGCCCCCTCTTCGTTTGCCACGGTGGCCTCTGCAGCAGCAGGCCTCCTTTTTGGTGCGGGCCGCGACCTGGGGCCCCGGCATACTCCCGCCGGACAGTCGCGCATGCCATGCGCTCAAGATTGTCAATGTCATGCTGAGGTGCCTGCGGCTTCCTGGCATGCGCCTCCCAACGAGGGTCAGTCCATGCGAGCTGAAGCGTGGGCGGCATCTGAGATGGTTTCGCTCGGAGGTTACGCGCTTGGCATCTCCAGTCAGACTGGAGGGCTCTCGGAGATGGGTTCGCATCCGGCTCAAGTTCACGTTGGGCCGCCAACCGATATGGAAGGACAAGGTCAATGCTCCGACCTTCTGCCGCGCCTACAAGGTGAAAGGTCTACCTCGACCGACGAAGTGTTCGTGCCCCCCTCCTCCTCCTCCCCCTCCTCCTCCTCCTCCTCCTCCTCCTCCTCCTCCTCCTCCTCCTCCTCCTCCTCCTCCTCCTCCTCCTCCTCATGGTCTTCGTTGCCTACGTGGTATGTGGCGTCATCCACGGTGGGTGGTCTGTACCTGAGTTACTGGTGGCTCAATGCACAACGACTGTCAACAATTGGGGCCAACGAGAGGGGATCCACCGCGCTCAGCTGCGCCGTGCACTTGCTGGGCTACGTGATGGCCCAGGGTCTCCAAGCACAGCAACGGTGCAGAGCAGCCATCCGACCCCGTGCAGGCGCTCTACATCGACAACCTCGGCATCGCCATCTTTGATGGGCCTGTTTTCCACCACCACGACCACCATAAATTGGAGGGGGAAGGAGGTGGAGGAGGAGGAGGAGGACGAAGAGGAGGAAAAGGAGGAGAGGAGGAGGAGAACCCTATTCCCCTGCAACTTATGGCGGTGGTGGTGGTGGAAAACAGGCCCATCAATCTTCCTCCCTCGTCGGGGGGGCTTCCCTCCGGGCCCGCTGCAAGGCGAGCCGCCACCTGCAGTGGCAGAGCTTGAGCCGGCGATGTCCGCTGCATTGGGCGGGGCAGATCATCGTGCCGTCGTCGGTGATGCTAGACATGCCGATCGTGTCTGGTCCGCGAGCGGCCCAGACCTGGCTCGCTGCTTGCTCCAGTCAACCTCTGAGGATCCAGCGTGGAAGCACCGTCCCGATCTTTCCGAGGAGGATGTTTGCGCGAGGCCGTGGGCAAAGGGCACAGTCAACCCTATCTGCATGGCTCCGTGGCCCATCTCAGCTCCCACAGCCTCTGACCCCGTTTCGCCCTCCGATCGTGTTCCCGCTTGCGAAGCCCAAGTGTTTCTCAGCAGAAGGCGACGGACGTTGCAGAACAGTGGCCCACAGCTGTGGCAGACGTGTAATCGACGCCCCAGGTTCCCCTGGCATGTATGGGTTCCGCATCAGTGGGCGTGCCGCTCGGGGCTTTCTGAAGTGGCCGGATGCTGTGTGTGTTTCGATATCAGGTTCGCCGCTGACGACGTCCGTCCCCTCCTCGTTGCCCCCCTTCATCATTGTCGTCGGTGTGGCCGTGCATTCTCTGACGTGAGTGTGGTATCTTGTTATGCGGATCGAACGTATGAGCAGTGTGGCGCGACGGCTATTGCGTCGGCATGGGCACTCTTGAAGCAGCCCATCCAACCAGCAGCACCTCCTGAGGCCTGCCTGGTGAGGAAAGGTCGACGCTCGAAGGTCCCCCCATCGGAACTCCCTGGTCATGTCTGAACCAACTGTTCCGCCAAGCTCCTTTCGCGTAGCGATGCCAGATGTTTTCCTAGCCTTGTCTGTCTTTTGCTGGGTATCCCTGGCTAGTGCGTTCGGGTATCTGGAGTAGCTCTCAGTGTGTTAGTGTATTCTCAAGAGTTTCGGGCGAGACGTGACCTGTCCCACTGCTTCCAGGAGGATATTCCACAACTACAGCCTCCTATGGTGTGGCACTCCGTCGTTTTTTGATGATATTCTAAGCTTGAGTACTTCGTTTTGTAGGAAGGTGCGGCGCAATTCATACACATCACATACGACGCAAAGCTCTCTACTGCCTGGGCCTTCTCGTTATCCTCGGCTACTTGGCTGGATCTGGAAATGGTTGCAATCGGCTCGGTGGTCATCATTATTCAAAAAAAGACAATTGTGAATGGCTATACGATTATACCAAGAAGCGGAAGAGGGCGACGGTTTTGCCCTATGTTGGCGCCTTACCTCGTGGTTTCGCTGGCCTCTATAATCTCATTGCCAATCGACTATCACGTCTTAGCTCTATGAGTCTTTCCGTATTTACGGCTTCGTACTGGCTGCTCGACCTCCTCCTCGAGATGTTCCTCCTCGGTTATCCGCTGCCCCTCCTACGTGCCCTAATTCATCGATGTCCGTGGAGTCTGGAGATTCAAGAGGCCCGCTGCTATTTCAGGTTGTGGCTCCGACTGCTGCGGCACCCATCCTCACACCAAGCGATGGGATCCCCGCGGAGAGGCAGCAGCTACACCACAGGCGGCAAGGGCCATGGCGGGGGCAAGAGTTACCCCAGAGACGGTGGTGGTGGACGTAGCGACCGTCGCGACTGGGATGTCCGTGGCGATCGCCGTGGCTGGGACTGCCGTGATGACAGCACTCGCGATGACCACACGAGCTCGGCGTCGGCCCCGCGGCCAAACCTCCGACTCGAGTGACCTCACCGCGAAGCCCGGGAGATCGAGCGGTCCAGGCGCTTCCTGGCTGGCCGAGAGGGGCCCCGAGCATGCGAACTTCTTGGCGGAGACCCGCCAGGCCAACACACGGGGAGCAGCTGCGGGCCCAGGGCAAGATCCTCGCGGAGGCTAAGACATCCAGCTTCGAGGAGCACACGATGCAGATCTGCGGCCAGAGTTTTGGTCCCCAGTCGGTGGCAGCTCCACCGAGCGCAGGCCCAGGTGGGATGACGCCACGAGCGTCGTTGGCAGGTGGGTCGGCTGCTACACCATGTTCTCCGGCTCCGCCGACGCCACCGACCATGCCAGGTTCCTTGTCAGATGTTGCGAAGGTCTGGCTCCAGAGCCTCGCTGGAACGGCGTCGATCCCGCAGGACCAGTCGACGGAGAGCATCACGAGCTTTCTCGCCGACTGCATCTCCAAAGACAGACAGTGAGGTGAACGAAAGGGTTAGGTTGATGATCGCATAGGTTGACGACGGGAAGTCCATCCCGAGGAACTTCAAGCAGCGGGCATCCAGTGCTGCTGACATCCTCGAACGAGAGGCCTCAAGCCAAAGGGTCTCAGACACGTACATGGTGGAGTTTCTTGAGGGACATGAGTGCCCCCCCAGTGGCATACAGTTCTACATGGTCTTCTCCGTACTCCCCGTCTTCCCCGTCTCCATCCAGTTCCAAGTTTCCCTATAGTGGTCAGCCTCAGTCTGTCAATGGCGGTTGGGTATACGTCAACGACTTCCAGCATTTTGGCGGCAACCCGCCCTGCTATTCAAGGTCAGTGCCCTCTCCGCGTTCAGGGTCAACAGAGGTGGGCGCGATACTCCCAATAATATTCTGTTTGCTGTGAGGTCTGGTGAGGTCTGGTTGTGTGCGTACTATGCTACGAAGCTTGCTGTTCATTCTCAGGTGTGTACACTGGAGAGGCGTGTGGGTCAGATCCAGATGTCAGCTACATGAGTTTCGCGACCTGGAGCCCACCATCATCGTCAGTTTCACAAAATATGTATCGGCCTTCTCACACGGCGATAGCAGATGTCGCGCAGGCCTGGTGGACCCTGCGCGTTTCCCGCCGCACCGAGGCCAAGTACATTCAGATGCTCGCGGACGCCGTGGGCTTCCCCTCCCGGATCTCCAATCTTGAAGATGAGGCCACTCTCTCGGCCTCCGCCAGCCGTGCTGCGGCCGCCGCGCTCTCACGGGCGCCCCGTTGAGGCAGGAGTTGTAAGGAGGTGAGTGGATCCCCCTGGCGTGATGTGTGGTCAGGCTTTGGCCCCTCATCCTGAATTTTGGGGTCCTTCTCCTCCTTCTCCTCCTCCTCCTCCTCCTCCTTCTCCTCCTCCCCCTCTCGAGTCGATGAAGCAGAGTTCTAAGTGAGAAACAGGAGTGTCCCTGTTGTCTCCTTCTCCCAGAGCTTGTGCGTGCATTTCCAATCGTTTGCCGCTGGCGCTCGCGATCAAGCTCGGGCGAGTCAGGGTCACAAGCGGTGCTCACAGCCCCAGACTTGGACCGTCTCGCCGAGCTGCGTCCAGGAGAGAAAACGTGCCAGGTACCCATTCTCCCCGCCGACTGTACCCTCCTCCTCGTCCTCATCGTCCTCGTCCTCGTCCTCGTCCTCGTCCTCGTCCTCGTCCTCGTCGTCCTCGTCCTCCTCCTCCTCCTCCTCCTCCTCCTCCTCCTCCTCCTCCTCCTCCTCCTCCTCCTCCTCGTCCACCCCCTCCTCCGCAGAGATCCGAGGAGATGATCGTTTCGGTCCGACATTTTTCCTGGATTTCGGCCTCTGGGGCCCTTCTCTGGCGCGGGAGCCATCAAACATGGATCCAGAACCAGGGTCCACCCCCGGGGAAGGGGTCGGGACCTCTGGGGCCGCGGATTGGAAACATCATGTCGGCGGGTGTCTGGGCCCTCCTTGTATTAATTTTCTTCCTTCTCCTCCTCCTCCTCCTCCTCCTCCT